TTTGGGACTTGAGTTGGATGCATGTGTAGTATAGATTTTTTTCTTTACTTGTATGATTGATTTTTGAACTCTAGCTTACCCTTCTATTTCCATGTGGTGGGACTGCAATTATCATACTTGGTATGGGAGCAAGTCAGGGATAGCTTGGAGTTGAGGTGACTGCTGCAAGACGGGGAGTTTGATCCTCGTGTTAGAGTTACCATTTTGAGTAACGATTTTGTTTGTGCTTGACCGGTACTAGGGAATATTATTTTTGGAATGATTGTACATATTTGGTGTTCTATTTTGTATACAGAAACTTAGTTATTTTTATTCTTACCTATACTTGTATGTATGAGTTATCCAGCTTAATATTTCTCTTAGTTTGCTAGTAGTAATGCGATTTAACTAAGTGTAGAAATCATGGTGGGTCGTTATATATGACATACCAACTTTGAAATTCCATATTTGACTAATATTGACCTTGTCTCACAATGAAAATAAAAAATAAAAGTGCAAACACATATATTCCTAATTTATTTGGTACAAACACATTCTCTTGTAAAATAACAATAATAAAATTTAAAGATAAAATTTCTTATCAATTAGTTGATCTTTAATAGATTCCACATATTCCTTAGTTCTTACTACGTATAATTCATGCTCAAGTTTGTATCCCATGATGTCTCCTAGTCCAACCCATGAGTTTTCCTATAGTCCAAAATAAACTCATAGATGTCCTTTTCACTAGCAAGGGATGTGGATACACTTTCCCTCTGCAAACATCTCTTGGCCCATGCTATGAGTTTGGGACAGTCCAATTTGAATCTACCCACTGTCTCATAAGCATAAAAGCATTGATGGAAAGGGATTAAAGCAACATTAAGAAACCCAAATGAGTCACCCCCAAAATATGGCTTGTCTCCAAGAACCTCTTCTAGTTGCTTCAACCTTTCCTTCAATTCCTTCCGGGCCTTCTCCTGTTGATCTACCTTTGAGGCCCATAACTCACTCCCAGCTTCTTGCACCTGCGTCATAAATACTTTCCATAGACATTAGTTAATGTAAATAACTCATTTAAGACAATTCATCATTAGACAAATACTTGTTTTGGGGGAACAATTCAAGAGGTTTTGAAAAAAGGGAAAAGTTAAATTTAGTAGTACAGATTAACTTTTTTTTTATTAAAAAAACTACCTTTTTATCAATAAAATCAGCCCAGAACCTAGCTTGA